TGCACGAAGACGAACAAACTTGCGAACGTGGACGAATCCAATTATTTCGTTTTTATTTATAGTTGACATGCATTTTTCATTAATCCAAATAAATAAAAAAGGTGCAATGGCTCCTTATTCTCAAAGAACATTTTACATCGGTACCGATTACTTGTGAAAGATATTTTTGAAGGCAGCAGGTAGCAGCAAGTTGCAAGCATGAAACAAACAGCGAGAAGTGACGCCGCATTCAGAAGAAGTTAGGGAGGAGTTAGAAAGTTTCGGTTCTCAATCGAAATCTTATTTAGTGATTAAAAAAAGGTATCTGCATTGCAGCGCTACATAAGATCTTATGATGCGAATTAATTTTGAAACGACCCACTTTAAATTGGTATATGTTATATATAAAGGGTGTTTCAGCAAATCGGTTACAAATTTTCAGGAGAGATGGAGTACACTTAGATGATGGAAAATCACATAGCGTTTGGTCGTTTCCGACCATGCATTGCTATGTTATTTGCTTTCTTAGCGCAATAGCGACGAACAAAACACAAAAAAAAAAAAAAAAAAAAAAAAAAAAAAAGAAAAAAAAAGAAAGACGCGAACAGTGAACAAAACATGTTTTATTATGTTTAGTACAGTAGAGAACCAGCAAATAAGAATAAAAACGGTCAACGATCCTCATTAAAGACGGTCCAGGGTCCGAAATTACGACCCCGGATGGTGATGCAGGCCTCAAATCTCCGGCAGAAGGAAGATATGCGGTCCGGGTCGTAATTTCGAACATCTTCTTTGATGGCAATCGTCTGTTTTTGTTGTTATTTCTTGGTTTCCGTTGCACTAAGCATAATAAACATTATTCTCACACTGTTTGTGTCCTTCCTTTCTTATGTTTTGTGTCGTCACTACCGGATCAGGAAAGCGTTTCCGACAATGCATTGCTATGTGGTTTTCCATCGTCTAGGAGTAAACTATCGCTCCTGAAAGTTTGAAACCGATTTGCTGAAACACCTTGTATATGATATATGGGATGGTTAAAAAATGTAAAAGTAGATAGAATGGACAGAAATAAGCAGATTTTTTAGTGGAATGTGGCTGCGAAAAAGGTGCGTTGAGGTGGTACATGACGCTAATGAGTGGTAGGTAAAAGCGTTCTGTTGGCGTGAATCGTCATTCCCCGTGTGAATTTTGAACTGTATGCATCATTATGCGTACGCAGAGCTCACCTACATGTATTTTATTTATGAGACTGTGGTTGAAGAGGAGCAGCTAATCAAACGAGATACAGAGAAAGGTTACTGTACTTCCTTTCAAAAGCTGCTTAGTTTATGTTCGCAGGCTCATAAATAGAATGCGTATCGGCGAGCTCCGCGTCCATGTAACAACGAAGCGCTCGAAATCCCCCCCCTTACCCGGGAAATGGCGGTTTACGACAACAAAGTGCTTTTTTCATTGTAATATGATACAATAGATTTAGTGTGATATAAGCGAAAATGTATATAGAAAGAGATATAAACGTATATATACATACTTTATGATGTGCATACAAGATCATCCAGATGCCTTTAAGGGTTCCAAAATGTATGCGAGTCAAACAAATAGATATAAGAGAATGCACTTTGTCAAAAAAATAAATAGCATACAAGGAGTATTTGAGAGAAGAGAGTAACTACTTAGTTCTTATTTTTGGCAAATCGATTATGCTGAACCGTATCGATAGCAACGATCCTAGCAGTGCGTGATGAGATTCAGCGCCTGATCAGTAGAACCAGTTTCTAAAACATTTTTAATTCGGCGAACTGTACGCTAGAATTGAATTTTAATATTTATTTAGACAATGTATGATTATTTAGTAAGTAATTTTATCGCTTATTTAGGCAGCGAATTGGTTCTTAGAATTTTTGTGTCACACCGCTGATTTGTTCACTAGCACTTGTTACGTATCAAAAACTTAATTTTACCTCTAAGGAAAGTAATCCGTACCGAATATTCAGTGCTTACTCAGATTGCTGTTACGTTGCAGCGCCATCTACCAGTGGGAATTTGAATTGAATATGTCAATATAAATTCCCTCTGAGCAGTTCGTTTACACGAAAAACCTCATGTCATTATAACCATACGTTCAGCTTTTATAAATTTGCAAAATATTTACGTATTGTACCACTCTCATATGCAAAGAATAGCATATGAACGCCAAAGTCCTCGAAAATCTATTTTATCCACTCTCAAAAGTAAAATCTGGCTATTTCCTTGAGTTAGAGCGATTCCGAAGACAATTCACGCTGCTAAAAATCATACTGATAATGAGCAGCGATGCAAAGCATATCTGAAACAATAAAAATTCAAATAGGGAAAACGGTCAAAGAATGTTAGTGATTCTCAATGCAAAAAATTATCGTTGATTTAAATGTAAAGTGCTGCATGCCAGCTTTGATAGTTTTTTCATTTGAAATTAATGCCAAATAAAAGTTACTTTCATCAGCTTTGAAGTAATGATTCCTTGATTCGTGAATATTAAAACTGTATGTAACGATTGATTAAAAACGTACTTTTTCTTCTACTCACTTAACGCTGTGAATTACCTTTCCGAACTTTCAGTTTAATGTTCGGCTAATAATGGTTCATTTTCGAATGCAGATTGTTCTCTTGTTTCATTATAAAAAAGCATAGAAGGCTGTCTAAGAGGAAGGAGGACTTTTAAAGGGGAATTATCTTCTATTTACGTTACACATGGGAAAAAACACGGAATGGCAGAGATTCGAGACTAAATTAAACTACCAAAGTCCAACGGTTTTACCACTAAGGCCACTGGTAGCCTTTCGAATATAGATTGGATTCTAATAGCCCACCAGCGGCCGAGTGGTAAAGTCGCTGAACACTGGTAGTTCGGTCCGAGGTTCAAATCCCGCGAACGGGCTGGCTGCATTGGTGTTTTCGTGGTTTTCCCCATGTGTAACGTGTATACGAGCCAGTTTCCCGTAGAAAGTCCTACATGAAGGCATCCCTCCCCTTAGGCAGATAGCCCTAGTGTGCTTTGCCATAATTAAATTAAATTAAATACACACGATACAGAGGAAAATTAGCTTTCCACGAATGATGAAGCAACGCGTACACCGCACGTGATGCAGCCCAACCACGCAATGACGTCTTCATAGACACCACCCCCCGCCCCTTTCTTCGCAGATCAGAATCTCTCGACTTGCCTACGCTAACGCAAGAACTTTCATTTCGTCTCTCTCCGAAAGCAAAGTGCTTTCTATTCTTCTTTCTCCGATTAAGTTTCTTCTCACATGGAGAATTTCCTTCAGAAGCTAGGCCCTTTAAGGGACTCCTTCAGTGAAGTGGTAAGAGCAGAAAAGTCACTTCTGCTGAACAACAGTGTACCGCCCAAAGTATCAAAGCTGTTACGATATTAGAATTGCTTAATCTCGTTCTTAGAAAGTCCTTCACGAAGGCATCCTTTCCCTTAGCCCTCGAGTGCTTAGTCACAATTAAATAAACCTAAACCTAAACCTGATTATTCATTCACGGAAAAATTAAAAACACGGCAAATCCAAAAATAGACTTGTATACTGTAAAAAGTTAACTTATTATTAGTCGTTTTAAATGAAAGATATTTAGTATACCTCTTAAAATAGAATTCAATTATAGTAAACTTACACAGAATTTCATTTTTTGGGGGGGGGTAAGAAAAGGTCCTCGTTTACGAGCAATGATCACGTCCTTTTTTGGCAATTTGGCAAATGCTGCGCCTAACGATGAAGCCATACAAGTCGAAATCAGTTTGATGAGAATTCAGTAAATATTCAGCTAAAGAAACTGATTTCTTGTTTGAAACCTGGAACTTCAAGGAGTTGATTCTGTCTTTAATACGAACAGTAACAACTCACTCCTCGAAAAGGGTGATAGAGAGCATAAATTTTTGGAAAGTATTAATTGCGTATCTTAAAAGAACTTTATTTTACGTAGAACAAATAGCAAACAAAGCTGAAAAGAAAAAAAAAAGTCAGACACAGACTTAAATGTCTGAAGCAACCATTTAACTAATTAAGACAACCCTTACATACATTTAAATTAAGATTAGATGCCGCCAAAAGGGGCGCCGGTCCGTGATGCAAGCAGATACTGTTTGTTGCCGTGTGGCCAGTAGGCATATAATATCTAGAAGCTGCTAGATATTAGAGTGGTCTTTCGGTCACCGTTGAGAGAGTTCTAGAAGCCATCCTAATCCAAACACTTCCTGAAAGCTAAACTTACATGGATATAGCAAAAAGAAACTGTTAGATACTAATTAAACTTAGCTCTTAATTAATATTCTTTCTCAAGATCATTTCTCTATTAGTGGCCTATAAGATTTCACTTTCTTCAGTTATAGTCTGTTGCTCTAAAACAGGAACTTCAAGGTTTTCTGCGTCTCCTGATTTGAATCGGGACCATGGGAACAACGGCTTCGGAAAAATATTCAAATCACCTGATTTTTTCCCTTCATTTCATTTCCGTTTAGTGTGTTTCGCTCCGTGAAAAGAGCACGAGTGAAGGCTGGCTTGAAATTGGCTAGCCTCAAGTACAGTGTAAAAAATAAAAGCTCTATGATGATGACGACATGAGCTACGCTTGGAAATGGGAATTGGTAACGGCCTTGAAGTGCCTATTTTAAAGTAATAGATTATACTATTCATTTCGGTTAAGTCTGGTGATCTCATGGTGAGTGCTTTGTTTAAAGCAGAAGGACAGGACATAATCTAAAAATCAAAACTGTTAAATAAAATAACGGTAATATTTTAAAATAGCCAAGCACTTAGTTTATACTTTATGTCAATTAAATATTAATATTAAGAAGTGTTTCGTAGTCCCATTCGATGTCAAATATTCGATAAATTTTTATAATCTCAAGTTTTCTACAAATTATATATTGTATATATCATTCACGACCTAAACTGGACAGTGATTGAAATGGAGCATGTTTTGTTCAGTTCGTATGGTCTCTAGAAGCCCTAAACATTTTATTCCTTTTCTTTCAGGGCAAAATGATTGTTTTGGATCTGCAATCAGAATTATATCCTCAGTATCAAAATTTGGAATCATATTATGGCCAGCCCTTCATTTGGTGCATGTTGCACAACTATGGAGGTGTTACAGGTCTTTATGGTTCCCTGGAGAATGTGAATAAGGTAAGTTTAAAATCGTAAGCGCTTTTAATAAAATGCAACATTTCTTTACACTACTCGAAAAGAAATCACAAAAAATATCAAATACACAATCGAAATATTCGAATATTATGAGTTAATATCTCAATAAATATCCTCATTTACATATTCAAAAAGCTTTCTGAATTATCAAAAGAACGTAGACAATTATTTTTGTATAAATTTTACTGTACTTCAGATTTTACTACTTTGTGATCGTATCAGTTATCAAATTTGAATTAAATTTGATATTCTTCAATTAAATTAATGAGCTGCGCCAGTAACTAACTCTTGACATTTTAAATAAGAACTTAACGGGGTGAAATGAGCTGAAATTCACCCACACTTGTGTTTAATGAGACACTATGCGGTGACCAAAGTCACAAAAACGCCCACATCCCACCCTCAGCTCCTTTTTCGGGCAAGAAAGTGGGCCCGATGACATTTAACAACCGAAAAATTGAGAAAGCATGTAGGCTATGAAGAGCCCGGAATTGGCTTCATTATTGCGACAGGTTTCAACGGCTGGAACCTTCTTTCGTACATGCACAAGAAGCGCCCACAAACATCTAAAATTTTGCTGACCAGCCTGATTATGAAGCGAGGGAGCATTTGTTGACGATACTTCATTTAAGATGTTCACTCCCATATAATGTGAAGGTGTAGCCGCGTGGCACACTGTTTGAAGGAAGAAAAACTTTTGAAAAATATCTTCTAACAGTGATTGATACATACAGCATATTCAAGCAAATATATAAAAAAGTTAGTATTTTCCCGCCTCTCCTTACAGTTATTTTAGCTACTATTTGAAGCCCTTTTAAATGATGCAAAATTTTAATTACTTAAAAATTCAAAACGTTATTCAAATCATATGGATATGCGTATGATAAAGTGAGGAGACACCCGTTCTTTAACCATTGGCAATATGGATATTGTCCAACCACACTAACAATTTAAATACCTACACACTACAGGGCCCACAAGGGGCCCCGCCAGGTGTTGCTTACATTATTTGTATTTGATGCTTTCCACACCGTGGGCTCTGTCCCCTTCTGTTGTGTTTGGCAATGTACTTCTAAAATGAATTTGAAAACATAAATAATGGAGAATAAAGTAAAATTCATTTAAATAAAGGATGCGCTCGAAAGAATCACCTAGGTATGACGAAAATTCATACATATATAAATTCACATGAAAAAGAAAAAAAACTCATTACGATATTAGTCAGATAAAGCAGCTGAAAAATATGAAAAAAAAATCCAGTATCTTGAAGCGCTACTTCCGGCTTTGACACAGGTACTCATGCGTCATGGACATATAGAGTTCTCAAATGCTGTGAATGCCATATGAAACACCAAGCGACTGGCCATTTCTGCCGACCATTCTAGGAAAGGCTTCATGATGTCTTGTCATGCTTTAACATACTTGATGCTGTTGTATTGTGTTGTCTAAACATATCTGATCAGAGAGAGTTCCGGTGAAACCCTTTAATCAAGCGTGTCAAGTTGGCATCATTATTACTGACAGGCATTTAGAGAGTCGTGCCGTATCGGGTCGGACACTATATTACTAGAAATTAACCTGTGGATGATGTGGCAAAAATCGCCGCAGAAGACCGTTGTTACAGAGACAGGGATCTGCTAAAGTCCATTACTTTAATAAAGAGCTTGAGAGCATTTTTCGCCGCCCGATTTGACTCGTAATCTTGGAACAGTAAGCTGTGGGAGTAGCTGCTGTCTTTCAGCATTTTACCAGTATGACAGCTGTCTCCGTCTGCAAGTACGAGGGCAATCCCAAAAAAAGGTCTCCTATTTTTGGGGGACGTAGAGAAAGTTTTAATACGGTTGTTGGCAACACTGTTGTGAGTGGTTATACAGTTATTCGATTTTTGAACGCAAAAGGCGTTAAACCGGTTCAAATTCACCGCCTATTGACGGAAGTGTATGGACAGTCGTGCATGGATGTCAAAAACGTTCGCAAGTGGTGTAGAGAGTTTACAGCTGGTCGTACTGAAATTCATGACGAAGAAAGGAGCGGGAGACCGTCAATTGCCGACGAGACAATCGCGAAAGTTGAGGAACTCATGCGTAAAGATCGGAGGATCACTCTGGATGCTTCTGAAGCTCCTCAACGCTTCCTGAAGGGCATGGGGCAAGCTGGTATGACATGGGCATTATAAAACTGCCACAGTGTCTACAAAAATGCATCGACCGAAATGGCGATTATGTTGAAAAATATAGCATTCTTCAATCTTTAAAGTGATGTAGCAATTATAGAAAATAAACGGTTCTTTGTATATCTAAAAATATAGGAGACCTTTTTTTTGGGGGGGGGGATTGCCCTCGTACGATGCCGCAGGTCAATCACTTCCTCTTAGCTTGCTTCTGGCAGCTTAACGTCGACTTGCAAATTAATTACAGTTGGCTATTTACAGGAAAGGTATATGCAGGACTATCAATCGTTTGTGCTCACTGGTATCTCTCTGGGATCAGAGATCTTGAAATCCCCTTAACTGGACCTCACACAATGGGTTCTATGTTCTTTATGGATGCGTTATGTTGTAAGGAACTTTGCCCTTCTTCTTCGCGTGCTGTCTTGGTGCAACTGGTAGCACGTCTGGCTACCATTCGGAATATCAAAAGTTTGAATCTTAGAGAAGGTGTAGCTATTTCTTCCTTCAAAACGAATCTTCACAGGTGGCCGATAATTCATCGTCATCTGAGTTTGGACAACTGAATTTAGTTCCCTTCTCCCTATTTGCCGTTTAAATGGGAGAAAACATAAAGAAATTTTTCCTTCCTCACTACATTTTCTAACTGTGTAATTGGTAGCATGTTCAGCTGGAAGATCAGAAGTTCGTATCCCGCTGAGGACATAGCAGATTTTTCACGTTTCCGGCTCTAAAATACATATTAGTTCTACAGTGGTTTAGTCTACAGGCTAACTTTTAAGGATTATGCAGAACGTCTGAAACTCGTTATCACGCCAGTAGCATCAACAAAATCAGCATATACAGAGTCGATGATTTGATTGCTTGGGCAGGGGTTGTTAACGGGTATACTGATCTCTACAGCTTCTCTCGCTGTGCTGTTACTGCAGTGAGCCATAATTATCACATCCTCTCTCAATATGTTTGATCATTTCTTGAGACCATGGGTCTTAAAGCTATTTCTAAAAACAATAACGTGAAAGTTCAGTGGGCTCTCACTATTTAGTCGGTAATAGAATCAGAAACACTGCTTCGTACGGAATGGCTATCTACATCATCCACCTCGAAATCTATCGGGCGTGTATGGACCCTGCTTGGAAGGCGTTAAATGCCCCTTCCAGCACTTTTCCCAGAATCTTTAAGAACTGAACATTTCTGCTTCGTGAAATGACACAGATACCTTAAACCGTCACAGATTATCTTACTCTTGGCATGAATTGACACTGCTGAGCATATATTGCCAACAGAGATCATCACGTTCCGTATTAACAGACCTCAAACAAAGAATTTTCCTTATTCTTTCAGAAAGTTTTAATGAATTTGAATGCATATTTTTCTTTTTATCCGCTTTTTTAACTTTTGGGATAATTATATTTGAGAGATGCGGGCTTGAAGTTCTAGTAATACATAATGACTTTCTGGTTGTCTAATCATTATGAAAAGTTAATAGGGAAAGTCATGCGAAATCGGTGTCTCCAAAGTTGTTCATTTAATTTATTAGGAATTTAATTTGCGTCACAAATTTATAGAAGTAACTCTTTTTCCTTCTCATAGTTATTAATTCAGAGACATTGATAATGATTTCGCAAAACTGGGCATTGCTCTAGTCATTTTTATCAAAATCTAGAGGGATTCTTTTAGGTATTTAAAAAAATAAAGTTATTAAATGTTGAATTTAAACTATTGAAGGATTATTTTCCATTTTGAATACCTTTCTATTTCCTTTTTCTTTCCACTATAATTTAATTTTTTACATGTAGGGACCATTTGAAGGAAGAACTTTTAATGGCAGTACGATGATTGGTACTGGAATAACACCAGAAGGTATTGAAACTAATGATATAGTTTATGAATTGATGAATGAAATGGCTTGGCGTAAACAACCAGTGGATTTGGAAAATTGGTAAGTTAAGAATATATTTATTATTTTTGATAATACTTATTTTCGTCTGGATTTTTAATTCAGAACTTGTCATGCGGGGACGCAAAAAAGGAGAGACATATATATATGCAAACTGAATAGTAGTTATTCTAAATAGAATTGCATTTTAAGTGGCATTTCATAAAATCGTTAACTGCATCCAAGCCAGACTCAGTATTATTTCTGATTGTTAAACTTCTAAACTGATGAATCTTCTTTTTTTTTTCTATATTGCGCTTTTCGATTTTAAAATTGTTCTAGGTCTTGTTAATTAAAATACTCTTTTTCTAATTTTTCATATCTTATTGAGAAATTCCCAGTAAATTCCTTCCGAAATTTCTATGAACTCAATATATTCCGAAATTTCTATGAACTCAATATATTCCGAAATTTCTAGGAACTCAACGCATGAAATATATGTGGTAATCTTCCTGAGAGTAATGAGCAATTTAATGCAAGTTAGCAAGAAAATATGTATGGGTGTTTAGACACATGAGAGGTATTGCAAATAATATAATCTTGGAACTTGGTCTTCTTTCGAAATCTGTTTTTCTGAAAACTCATTAGGCAAAATCTTGCCTACGCACAGGAGTAGCTAATTGTTCTCAGTTTACAAAGCGGCTACGCTTGTGGATGACGTACGAACAGAGCCAACGCATTTTCTATTATAGGCAAACTCGAAGGCTTATGTCAAGCCCACATATGAAGGATCAAGTATCTGAGACAAACAGCAGAGACTCTTTCTAATTTGCAGGAGGCATAAAATAACTCGCTGCAAATTAAAATGCAATTAAATCTGCTTCACTTTTATGACACCACATTCTGTCTCGAATCCAGCAGTAATTACATGTTCAGACTTTATGACTAATTATAAATGTGTGCATTTTCAACTTGAGGACAGAGGTGCTAAAACACACTTACATTTAAAGTTTCAGTCCGAAAAAAACTAAGGGGACAGAAACGAAGGGTCTCTAAACTTTCTTTCTCTGTCACCAGCAATAGGAATACTGATCAGTTGCTGTCCAGTCAAAATTATGAAAGGAGAAAAACATGGAGACGCTAGAGAAAGGTGAGATTTGGATTCGAGGAAATATGTGAAGGCGGTTTAAATATCTAATTTCTCTGCATTTAGAGAAGAAATAGAAAAACTTGTAGAGTCATTAAGTATATTTTTGGAAGCATAAAAATGAAAAATATGCAACCGCCTTCACCGGGAATCGAACCACGGACCTCTGGAATATACCGGCCCAGCGTACAGAACCACTACACCACGAAGGACGCTAGGACACCGGAAGAGATATCTTATAAACTGAATTCTTTGAACGAATGCTATTGTACTATGAAAACGGATTGTAGAAAAATAAACTATAAGTGAAATACATCTATTTAAAGCCATAGGAAAGGTACATATTTGTTATGTCTATGAATTTTATTGCAAATATTGAATTTGGTATTTCGAATGCTATGTTATTTGAGTACGAAGTATGTGCGTTTGAGAAATACTCTTAACTAAAATTTTTGTCTAAGTACAGTTTTTGAAATTACAAATACATTGCGGGTCGCGGCTTTTTGGCTCAATTTCTAATATGCCATGTAAAGATTTAATTGTTTTTATTCAGGACTTATGAATGAAATAATGCAAACTATATTGCAGAAAATTCTTAAGAATGAAAATTAATAATATTCAAAAATATATTATTGATGCAATTTTTAATTATATGCGTACTAATTACATATGGATCATTAAAGTATATATATATGCGTATATATATATGGAACAAAATACGGAACATGTACATGGAAAAAGGTATAAAACTTCAAAGAAAAATATCTTAAAAATACAATGTTCATTGACATGATTTGGTTAACTTAATTATGGCATAGTACTCGAGAGCTATCTACCTAAGCAAAGGGATGCCTTTGTGGAGGACTTTCTAAGGAAAACTGCCTTTTATACACGTTACACACGGGGAAAACCACGAAAACGGCCATGCAGTGCCAGCCCGTTCTCTCTCTCTCTAGCTCTCTATGTATTACAAAACATATATTTATATTGTATTTACATGCTGTTGCTAAAGAGTAATTTAATACATTATAGTAATAAAGAGTTATAGAAAATTTTACGGAACTACTTCGTTTCCTAGTTTTTATAAGCTTATCGTATTTCTTAAGATTTCTTAAGGAGAATCTCAATGCCGATTCCATTTCTAAGCCGTTTCTGTATCTTATTTTTTCACTGCTGAATTATTTCACTGATAGAAATATTTCAAATTATTTGACATGATTATAACTGAAAATGACTATAAATGAAGAATTTAAGGGAAAAAATATGCTTAGTTACTTTTTATTTATTCTTTATTTTTGAAGTATTTAAATGTTTTAAAAATTTAGCACATTGATACAGGTCACTGAACTAAGGTTCTTTACAGAGGACAGATTAATTAGCTAATAAATTTTAGTTTTCATTGATTGAAAATGAGTTCATGTGCATTCTACAAGAAAGCAAGCATTCCAAAAAAAAAACTTTTTCTCATTCATAACTTTTTCCTTAAATAATCAAATAATTCATATTCAAATATTCCAGTCAATTGCAATAAGTAATAACTACCTGAAAATGGAATTTTAATCGATTTTAATTGTCATTTCTTTATGGTAATACCATTTACGGTGAGTTATTTACCTTTAAGTTACCTTTAAATTTAATGTTACATTATCTTTTAAGTTCTCACTGCAAGTGGTCAGTGTCGGTTCCTTCTGGTCCCTCTTTAAAGTGCTGTAAAAGTCGATTAGCACTTTCATATTCCTTTATAGTACGTTTACGTTGTACATATACTGAATTAAAGAACCCTATTTCAAACCTGCCTGCAGGTGAAACCTGTCTTCAGAAAATTGTGAAATCTCGTGGCGGACTTAATGAAGGGATGAGAAAAAGCTTTCATATTAAAAAAAAAAAAAGAAAAAGAAAAAGAAAAAGAAGAAGAAGAAGTTAAATTACAAATGCTGCCACCAGAGGGCATTGTATTAATAAGTTACATATTTAAGCACATCTTTATAATTTTACGAATTTTATTACAGAATTGAATTCTCTTATTCCTTTCGCATTTCCATGCCAGGATGTAGATGATTTAGGGTGAACGACAGTATTCAAACTGCTGGGGCAAAATGTTTAGACAAAGCGTGGTTTCGCTTTTGTTAGCATACGTTGTTAGTTTCTACGAGCTGTTAACCTTAATATTGGCTACGCATTTTTGCCGCGAAGTTATTATCCTATCGGTATAGGATTCTGAACTAACATGTAAGCTTAAATTGAATTGTGTAGTGTCGCATTACTTTTTCCCTTTAAATTTAGTTTTACATTATCTTTTAAGTTCTCACCGCAAGTGGTCGGCGTTTTTATAAGCACGTAAGTTCGTGCCATCTGTTAAATATTTTGTGTTCAATAAAAGGGTCTGTTATTTCCTTCCTTTCTTGTGTTAATCTTCAAGTCTGTGCAAAATGCGCAAGGATCACACTTAGGTAGATCTTTATGATAGCTAAGACAACTAGATCTTACAATATGAGCCTATTTTGCCTAGAAAATTGTCCACGAAAGCATGACTTTGTCAGCTAGGCTTCATATGCTTTGCCATAGTCAATTAAGTAAACACACAAACGCTTCTTATTCTTAACATGATTAAGTATTTGTTTGCTGATTATGTGCACTTAACAAGATTATAAGCTCAGGAAGATGGGTTTCCAAGAAATGCACTAATCCATACCATCAGACTTAATTATTCCAAGAATGACTCGGTAAAATTCAATGCTAATATGAACTGAATAGTCAAACTCGCCAGCTTTCAACGGGATTGAATATTTGTGAGAAATTATGAGAAAGCATGCGTGAAAGAGATGGAATATTTATGGTCCACAATGAAATATCTTAAACATAAATTTCTAATACATTAACAGACAGACACTTAATAGCATCTACACCATATCAAATGACAGTCGCACTTTAACCGAATAAAGCTGCAAAATATTGAGAAGGCAGTCATAATACAATGAGCCAACCAGCGGCCGAGCGGTAAAGTCACTGAATGCTGGTAGTTTGGTCCGAGGTTCGAATCATGCGAACGGGCGGGCTGCATTGGCGTTTTCGTGGTTTTCCTCATGTGTAACGTGTATAAGAGCCAGTATCCCTTAGAAATGTCCTCCCCGAAGGCATCCCTCCGTTTAGGCAGATAGCCCTCGAGGCTTTGACATAATCACATACACACACACACATAATACAATGAACGTTTTGTACATTTTCTTATAAGAAATTTTCTTTATACGTTGTATTTTTCTATTTATCTAGGTTAAACAATTATTCATTACGTCGGTATGGAAATCATTCTTCCAACCTAGTTCAAGCATTATACTACTTAAAGGTAAATTTGGTTTATGATTGCCTGAATATGTATTAGAACTTATATATATGAAAAATGCCCAAATATGGAAATAAAACAACTTATGTCTGTTTATGTAGTACAGAAAACTAATGATAGTTACTATAATATAAACTAGAAATATGTGCTAATTTTCTAAAGACATTACTCGAATGTCATAATTAGTTAACGGTACCAAAACAAAGACCAAAACTTCCTAACGAAGACCAAGGCTTACCTAAATGGCGCAGTCAATTTTCAACAGTTGTAAGTGGACACTAATCATGCGCTGCACAGCACGATTGTTGGCAATAATGCTGACAACCTCTATACCTGCATAATCTCACTTGACGTCGCGGGGGCATTTGACAGTGTCTAGTGACCAGCAATACTTCAGTTATTCACTGGACCTGGCTGTCCCAGTAATATTTATAATTTCATAAAGAGCTATTTTACTGATGTCGAGTTAATGTTCAGTTCATAAACGAGTCTTCGTTTATGAACGCAATACTTGCTATAAAGAAGATGAGATCAACAGAGGTTGTCCTCAAATTTCGTGCAGCAGCCATTTATTCTGGCATTTGATAGCAGAAGCTTGCTTAGGCATACCTGTGTTACTTATGGAGTTACTATGCAAACGTATACTGATGATCTTCTTTTAATTGTCTCGGGTAGTAACAGAGCAATCCTCGAAAATAATGCCAAAATGGGCAATTAACAAAATTAATTCATAGAGTGAGCTTTACAAGATCCCATTTAATCCAAGCAAAATGAGTGCCATGACTATTAAAAGGGTTAATAAAATAAAAAGTAGTAGGACACCTACCATTAAATGGGAAGTGAATCCCACACATAGTGTGGAATCCTTCCGCTATCTTGAAGTGATTAGGGACTCACGCCTGACCTTTACGGCACACCTGGTTGGCGTGAGGAAGACGGTTTTCGAGATGAGTCAAAAATACATATGAACAGCCAGACGATTGTACTCGAACCGTCCAACCTTATTAAAAGCGATATATTTGGAAGCCATAAAGAGGTATGCAGATTTTGGCGGCGGTGCATGGGGACCACGCCTCTCAAATTGTGAATTCAGAGAAAGGTTCAACTCCACTTACAGACCGTTCGCACTCCTTATAACAAAAACGTACAAGAGTGTTCCCACATATGGGGCGCAAATTCTAGTGGGAATTCTCCCGTTAGACCTGGCAGCAACCACAGAATTTGCAAAGTTTCAAATGAGATAACGGAACAGTCTCGTAATGTTGGCAATGGCCGGCAATTTTCGTCATACGTGTATTGTTCCAAAGCCATTTATGTTTTTAAATGAGCTGATCAATTTCTATAGCTAAAAAGTGGGTATGGTCATTCGAAAATTTTGAAACGTTTCCGCGGTAACCCTAAACGGGAGAGCTCTATTGTTTTAAACCATCATAATCGCGAGCACATACCTTCAAACAACAATATCTAAAATTGCATTTCGATTGGTTGAGCGGACAGGCCGCTAGGGATTGATATATCGGGGAAGTTTTTTTATGACCATCCTTTATACTATATCTACTAAAAACGATTGCGAAAATAAAAGCTTGGTAAGGGCTTTTGCGAACATAATGTATAGTTAATGCAAACTAGAGTAAATCTAATATAATTAACTCGTGCAGCATTGATTTACCCAAATTATGAGACAATCGTTCGAATATTAGGCGAGGGATCTCAGATTTTCTGACTGTTCCTTAAGTACTGTCAAACAATAAATATATTAGATGTTTCAGTTAAAAGTTGAATACTCGGAAACTGAATAGTTGTGTTATTACTAACTCTATGTTCTTCTATTTGGGTTAAATATGCAAACACATCAATTTTTAGAGAAAAAAGCTTTAGAGATCACATACCGTTCAGATTTAGCTTTGAAAAGATTTTTGAAAAAGCTAATTTCATTTTTCTTTTTTTGGGGGGGGGGCAGTCAAACGCCTTATGCATTAAAAGTATAATTGTAGGCAGTTTATCTTTCTAATTAGAATCTATATCTCTATAACATGCGGTGAATTTTCGTACTGTAGTAATTTTTACACAGAATAGAGTATTTCGTGATAAGTTATAACTTGCTTAAAATTTCCTCGGAACATCATGTTTTAATGTTCAACAAATACATAAATTACATTTCATACTAAATTTAAAAATTATATTCTTTCATGACACGTTTGGGTTTTCGGTAATAAAATTCGGCATAAAGATTTAAGTTTGATGCAGATATCTTTATAACACAAAATACTCATTACTGATGCATTCTTTTGATATTTTATAAATGCAGAGGAGTGTATACAATGCAACAGTACCTTACAGAAACCATGGAAAATATATACTCATTAGAAGACCTTCCTTAAAACAGAAACCATACGTAAGTATTTCGATCATATCTTCATTTTTTGCTGATTTCTTGTATAGTTTTTATACAGTCTGTTTCCACTAGATGTTTAGATAGGTGAATGGTAATATCCACAAAGTTTCTGAACAACTTTATCCTATTACTGTGGGCATGCTGTAAGAGATAGTTCTGCATATTTTTGTGGTGTTATTACACGTATATCAAAGTTTTTACTAATTTGTTTTGGTTTAACATACACATACAGTGAGGATCCATATCACAACTGAGTTGAAGCGAGACAGCACGAAAGTGAATGTTTGGTATGGGATGCTGCATGATAAGATTTCAAGACCAGTGTTCTTCCACGAAGCTAACAATGAGAGCTAGAGTGCACCTCGGTAAATTTATTACTTGCATTTGCCCATAGCTGGAGGACCATCAACCAGAGCAACCAATGTCCGCATGTCGAGGTTGCGTAACTTGCGTCAATTCTCAAACAACTTTGAATCTTGCTTGTGAAAGTGTGACCAGTACCAAAGCTATAAATTGTTCCATTCCCAATCAACAAGTTATTCAGGGGCTTTGTGGACACCCTGTATTTTCTATATAGAAAATATAATAACGTTTCATTATGTAATACATTCACAAATGCAAAATTCAACCTCATTAATTATGCAATGAAAACCTGCATGGTTTTCATTTCATGTTTCAACAGGTTTTTATTGAATTCATCATAAAGCTATTATTTTTTCATACTTACGAGTTGAAAGATTTTTTAGGCCTTTATAAAACTTTTTTTTTTCTTCAACTATGAAAGATCTTGGATTGGCACATTTTGCACCTAATATAGTCTGAACGGAAATACGAAAATAATGAATATAAAATTTTTTGCTCGTGCTACATATTCGAAGAGTGTAATCTTGATTCAGAGCATTGTCCACCACGGACACAATTAAATCAAATACAACTTAATACGTAAATCTCTCTACAGTATACGTTTTTAATGTCTATCGGGCAAAAACATTTATTAGAGTTAAAAGGATTTTTAAATTAATAGCCGCATAATTGTTTTCGCGATCTTAATTAAGTCTGAAAATTAGTTTTTTACTTTAATACTGTTTTGATTAATTCTCGTGGACTTTCAAATTAATCCTACCACACTCTGTAAACAAAATCATTCCTTTTGTTGTCAAAATATTTAAAAAATCTGGTAATTGAGATGTCATTTTTTAATAAGGTGCGTGCGTTTTCTTCGCAACCGTTGATCATAGACATGCATTTTCATTTCACAAATGTTTTAAATGATGCAAATATCCATGTTTTGGCATTTTTAATATAAAGAAATCAATTTTGTAAAATTACAAAATCTAACTTTTTTACAACTTTCTCCGATCCCTGTATTTACATTTAGGAAAGTTTTGCACTCGTTATGAAAAATTAAACACAAAAAGTTTGAGTTCCGTAGTATAAAAATTGTAACTAATATTAAAATCGAAGTATTCAGAGGTCATACAGATATTCAGAGCCATACAGATACGGAAGCCATACATATTCAGGGGCCATACAGATACTGAAGAGCGAAATGTTAGCATTTGTACACAACTAAAAAATAAAATAACGTTGAGGAAAAAAGTTTTCTGATGTTCATAGATTAAATGCCGAGAAATTATATCCATATCATTGGGAAAAGTATTAATTTGTACAATGTTTTTCAAACAAGAGATCTTATTTATGGAATCTTACAGAATTCGTATTCTTGAAAACGCTGGCAGGCTTCAATGTTGGCGCGGATCCAACTCGTAATATTGTTTCAAAAATAAAAAATATTTTTGCTTAGCTGAATTTTTCTGCGATTAAAAAATTATGAGTCTAATGTAAAGAAACATCATGAGAATAGTAATAACATATTTATAAATTACTTGTGTGAAAATTCTTTCGGCATGCGATGTGTAAAATGTTATAAATAATGACACTAGTTGTGTCTGTGTGGTATAGGGTGTCCTCTCGAGAGGATGAAGGTAGGGAAACAGGGGGAACCCTCGAACCCATCCCGCCGGGGTGCTCTCTCTCAGAATTGTGGGGGGGGAGAACAGAGCTAAAGTCGAGATGTCACCTATATGATGCTCAAGGCTCTTGGCAACGACAGACGCATTTGACTCCTTGCCATGATGAACGTCGAGGGCTTGTGCTGACCTCAGTCAGACAAGTGTGATTGATAACAACAACAACGATAAAGACACTAGTAAATCAAAAAAAAAAAAAAAAAGTTTCATTAAAATTTATTAACCAAACCCTGAATACAAGTTGAAGATTTTTATTATTATTATTATTTTCAATGGCTAGGCAAAAAGTTACAAAGAACTAAAATTTTACAAACAAAAGATTACAATAGAACTAAGAACAAAAACACCGAAGTCATTGCCTAAGCAGGGCTTTTGCCTCCCAGTATCTCGACTCTTCTGTAAGACCACGAAGAGCCCCACCTCGAAGCAGGTGGTCCCTGTCCATTTCTTCGCCTGAATCACAAAGTGGGCAAACAGGATCGCTTGAAATGCCTATGCGGTGCAGGTGGACGGCAAGGCAATCATGTCCTGCAGGACAGACGGAAAGCCGCAATTGCATTGTATCTTGGAGTATAGGTAGTAAGAGAAGATTTATCATTCTCCAACTTTTTAACACTTTTTAACGCGAGTCCTAAGATCTCATAAGACTCAAGTTGAAGTAAAATATGCAGACTTACGTTAAAGCAACTTCAGAATCAAGTTGAAGTAAAATATGGCAAATTTTGAAATTAAATATCTTTGTCGATTTTTGTCGTACGTGAGTCAAATTTTTATAGCTTTATTTTTTAGAACGGGTACAAAATTTCCTTATATGTAGTACGCATAGAGACTGGAGGAATGAGTGCAAAGTTAGATTTCATATTTTCTTTAAAAACTGTTTATTTACTGTGTAGAGACATTAGGTTATTTTTTAAGCAGGCGTGATGAAAAATGAGCAACGCCCTCGCCTGGAATCGAACCACAGACCTCTGGAATACGCACCCAACGTGCAGACCACCACACTACGAAGGCATGCTAAGGAGGCGGGAGAATAAGTATCCTTATCTACTTCCCCTTTTAAAGGGTGCCTGGGGTTTTTAGGGGACCCAATCGCCAAGTCCTGGGTGTGGAGAATCATCCACCACCCTTTTAGTTCGGGCGCCACTGTAGAGACATTAGACATCGTTTTTTTTTTTTTTTTTTTTTTTAAAGCAGGAATTATGAAAAATGAGCAACGTCTTCGCCGGGAATCGAACCAAAGTCCTCTAGAATACGTGCCCAGCGTGCAGACCAGCACACTACGAAGGCAGGCTAAGAAGGCGGAGGAATACCTTATAACTTTTAATTTGAAAATGCCAAACCATGAATATTTGCGTCAAATTGAAACATTTTTGTAACTGGAAATATATATCTATGACCAATGGTTGTAAAAATAAACGCTGGTTAAGATCTTTTATGGACACGTTGTATATAAATATAATAATTAGATAGTATATATATATACGTTGTATAAATATAATAATTACATAATATATATATATATATACGTGTATAAATATAATAATACATAGTATATATATACGTTGTATATAAATATAATAATTACATAGTAATATATATATATATACGTTGTATATAAATATAATAATTACATAGTATAATGTTTTGCATACAATTATAGAACATATTATGTATGCAATATACGCACTATACATATTTACCTCAGTAAGTCGTTCCTTTATCTGTTTATTAAAATTATAAAATGTGTTTCTATAGTTAATGGAACTGACCGGTCCCTTTAAGAAACATGAAATAAATACTGAACTACTTTTAGATCTGGTATGATCCGAAGGATGTTTTCATAGCCTGGAACTTATTTTTGAAAGCATCTCAAGAAACACTAATTCAAAATTCCAGTCTTTATAAGTGAGTATATATTAGACGAAAAACCTTGAAATATATGCAATTTAACGTGTTTCAATGTTTTGTAAGTGTAATATTCAATTAATCATATCAAGTTATTTGCTCAGTAAAGATAAAATTTTTACCTTTTCAGACATGACTTAGTCGATTTAACTCGACAAAGTTTGCAGATCGTGATGGATGTTTATTATCCAAAAATAGTGCATGCTTTTAAGAAACGAAATATAACCGCTCTTAGGTAAGTTCACAAGTTTAATATTTCGCCTTTCTGAAATGGAAAATTTAGATAACACGTAATTACATCAAGTTTCGAAGTTTCATGAACTATCCCGTTGGTACATTTTAACGTTGTTAATCAGCGTGCACTTTTCAGAAATGTTTCGTAAAAAGTAAGCTTGAAGAATTTCTTCCCCAACAGATTCTTAATCGTATTATCATGTTCTCAGATGTCGATGAAAAATTAAGAACTTCTTTCAGTTTTCCGCAGTCATATCTATCAAACTGAAATTCACGAATAGCCTCCCCTCCCCCCCCCAAAAAAAATGTCCGAAAACTTGATCATCTAGCTTTTGTCGAGAATAGCCGAGTTGATCGGTATCCGAAAGCATTGCCACATCACTGGGGATATATCGATAGTACTCCCGCTGAAAGAGAAGAAAGACACGCACATATAATCAAGCCTTACGGAGGATTTGGGCGAGCACCTGGATTTTGGATTAGCAGCAAGCTTTAGTTAATCATCATATAACCCAGAGCGACTGAATCAAATTTTTAAATCGTGTATTCGCTCACAAATAAGATATATATTCTTATTTTACGTGCAGGTGTATATCAGAGCAGCCAGCGTTCATGTTAAGAGACGCGACGTGTTAGAAATATTCAAAACCCTGCACGAGATTTTCGAGAATCTCAAGTAAATACTTATATCGTTTTAAAAGCAGAAATAAAGATTTATAAAATAAATGTTTTCGTTGTGTTTTTAGCTAATGCTCAAGTTTATTAAAACTAATAATTCTTGTGTCCTGTATTAATAAAAATATATTCTTGGATACACTAAAGATTTTTTTATCAAATAGAATATTAAGTATTTTCTTCTGACTTTTAAACTTATTTTTCTGATTGCAGTGGTTAAATGATTTAAAAAAGAAGTAAACTGAAATCGTATAGTTGTCTTTATAATCATATAAAAAGCTTTCAGTTAAAAAAAAAAAAAAAAAAGAATAATGCAGTAATTTTAATAACAGATGAAACGATTTTATTTTACCCTTCATCCACGTACTCTGGAAAGAACGAAAACAGGTGTGATTGGACAATACGCGTTGTGACAAATTTCCATTTGAGATACGAAAATTATTTTTAAATAAACTAATTACCAGCTTGGTAGTTTCATTAAAAATAAAATAATTTCGTTTTCACCTGCAACTAATAGGAGGAACAACATAAGAAAATCCCACCTAGCCTTAACTCGTATTTTAATTTATTCATTAGATGTAAGTTACTATAAGAAATTCCTCAGAGCAAGATTGCGATCAAGTGCATTTGCAGTGTCGTTCGGCAAGACTCAAACTAAATAGTCAACGCAATGAAATATCTAACGTGTACTCCCCTTTTTTCTTTCTTTCCCCTACCTTCCCTGTCGCATTAGTCAATACTGTTCTTAAAATAGCATGTAGCTTAGTGGAAACCGAGTTATTTGTCTTTTATTTGTTTACTATTAAGAATTATTTAATTTTTCATTTGAATATTATTATTATAATCATCGTATCATTGTATTATAATAATTATTATAACGAATTATTGAATTGTTTATTTTTATTACAGACTATTATTTTTCGATTGAAGCAAGGCTCAAATTTCAAAATCTTTTGAAATTATTACATGCATAATATGATTTAAAATGTTAAATTCATTGTTGAAAAATGCCTGGTAGCGCGATATCTCTTTGAAATTATATTTCGAGCATACATACTACTTGTTATAATGCAAGCCGCACGAGATCTAAACAGTCATAGTTTAGCCATGTATGGCACATACGATCGTGCTTTTCTAGATGCAGAATGAGTATCGCGCGGTTTATAGAAGACAATGGGATTCAATTTTAATAACCCAAATGAGGATGGGCGGTAACATGATGAAATACAGCACTTCAAATTCGCCCAGCAATTTCTTCTTGGAGTCTTTGCAAAAAATGAGCACATCTGCGCTTTGACCGGTGTAACCATACAGATGAAGTGTATAAGAATGCATTTTGCAGTATTTTGCGTGTATCTCAGACTATGGGTCACTCCTCCGACCCCTCTTCTTGCGTGATACTCCTATTGCATTTTTAGCATCACTTGAAGCAGTATAGTACATTTACTGTATAGTACAAGTGCAGTATGTCTTCACTGCTCTGCCGTTTTTAAGGACTCATTAAAATGCCAACCCCAGTAAAAAAAAAATAATAATAATGTTTCTTGCGCAGGAGAGAGAAATATTTTAGTGTGTTCAGTATATATTGCATTATTTTAATTGGTAGTGTAATATGCAATGTAATAGACAGTATACATTAATACTGCGTAGCTGATCATCCGTACAGCTGTCGCACGAATATCATGTTTAATATTGCGTTCGTTATTAACATCTGTTTCACATATTCACTGTAAGTCTTGGAATGCATTATTAGCGAATCCGGGATCATTATTGTTACATTTTATTGCATATTTATTCATGTTCTGCATATTATGTATTTTACTATTCTATATTGTGTACTTTCGCGTACATGCTCTTCTCGGTGCACGCATTAAACAAAAACATATACACAAGAATGACATCGCAGTGCATATTTTATTTACTTTTACTACTCGTATCGCAAAAATTTCTTTTTTACTTCTTAGGTTCTGGTGCTAATATAATTCTAGTAATAATATGTTCAAAAATAAAAGTTAAATACAAATTTATTCCCCATAATAGCATGTTTTACTGCTAAGACATTCATTTGGTTTTTCAGTTTAAGTAATCACAAAATAGTAAATAAAAACAGAAATTTTTACAGTGGTTTAGAAATTTTTGGAGTAATTTTTGGAGTAAGGAGAGGTGAGAAAATTAGTTATATCTTCCCTGGAAATCGAAATATGTTTGCTAGCCGGAGGAGATTTCCAGTTGCACCTTGCAGGGCAGGGTAAGGAGAGAGACAATGCTTTACATTCTCCCTAACTTAAAAGGCCACTAGGGAGGAATGAATCCATTCGCCAGATCCTGGTGGAGATGAATTATCGTTTACCACCTTTTAGTTCGGGCGCCACTTCTAAAGTCATCTAAAATTTTTTGGAGTCGGGAAATGCCCTTCCTTTGAATCAAAATTCCGCATCTTCCGATTGCTAGCCAGGCGGGTTTCCAGTCACATCCCGAAGGCAAGCAAGCGGTAAGGAGGGAGAAAATATCTTACGACTTTAGTAAATAATACTCCTTTGCGTTCTGTGTAATATCGGTAGAGTCACAATAAACCTCTGTAAACTGAAGAATTTTATTATATATTAGTCTATAAATGTAATGTTCTGAAAATTTTAAAGAAAAAAATTAGGCTGCAAGATCTTGGGGAGAGTAAATGAAAAGTTAAATAATGCGATTTGATAAGAAATTGCTTATTTAAATTACATGAATTATATCTGATTATATAAAGTAAAATCGGAATCCTAAACTGCTTATAAATTGATCAAATATTCTTCTGTTTTTCATTTGACAGATTAAATGCGTTTAACCCAACAAAGTGTAACTACTACTAACATTTCTGTTATATATAGTAAAATAGCATAACATATGAAATTTATTATTATTCTTAAAAATCAAAATATCTCTTGAAATGAACAACACTTAAGACATGTAAAATTCTTTGCAGATGCATTTCAATTTTATCACATGTGATGCTAAAACATTAGAATAAACTAAAAGGAAATGTTATTTAAAAGTATGGAAGTGTAACAAGACATTTAAAATAAAAAGTATGAAAAATAATAACTCAAAATTGTTTAAAAAATATATTTTACTTCAAAATTTCAGTTTAATTTCAATTCTAGCTCCTTGTTTTATCATCTAAACTGGTTTGCATATTTATGTAAAACTCTTGCCAGGTTGTTTTACTGAAGATAAAAATAATTCAAAATAAGTAAGAAGAAATAAAATTGTAAGTAATGATACTTGCCGTCAATATATTATCTTCAATCTATAAAAAAAAACAAAATTTCTAATTATTTTTCATCTTATAGTTTGACAAGAGTTAAACTAAATTTCTAATTTTTCATCTTATAATTTATAATCATTAATTCATGATACTCTACGACAACGAATAGGGTGGCCTTTTAGTTCTCACTTTCAGTAATTAAGAATAAATACGATGTACTTTTAATTCGTTCTCTTGCAACTAAAAAATATCTGTTCTGTAGTTGTAAAAGAACAGTTCATAACCATGAAATGGATCATCCTTCCTCAAAAGATGAAATCACTTTTAAACCCTCATATTTTTTTTTCTTAGAAATAAAAGCAATTTCATAAGTACAACGAAGCATCACACCCTCATACTAAAGCTAAATTAACGTTATAATAAATTCTTCTAATCCTATAAAATCTTTAATATATATTAATATTACAGATATTTAATATATACATCCTATAATAATCTTCTAAGATATTGGGAAATAATTGTTTCTTTGCATAAAATTCCTAATCAAAGCTTCATGAAGCTGCAACAATAAATATTTCAACAAACATCCCCTAAAATCACCTACAGCATTTATGTTATTTCGACTAGTAGCTATCATTAACGGCTCTTTTTTTTTTTTTTTTTCCTCATAAAAAAAAAGAACCTATAATGATATGCAGTTATTTAAAAGTCTGTATCTTACATTATGTACCAATCTTGAAATTACATCTTCTGGCACACTGAAGAGATGCATGGGTTTCGATTATAATTAGCTTCTTTTAATAAATCTGGTGCATCTTCATATTTCGCAACCATGAAAATCCTCGTTAATTAGCTCTATTATTGCCTATATTATTTAGCAATATTTCATCAAAAATATTCTTATAATAATCTTATATTCAAGTACAAATTATTGTTCTAGACCTAGATCATGTACAAAAATTATATATTTCACTAATAATTCTTCAGCTTAGTAACTTATTTTTTAAAATACACATTGACTTTATCAAGAATAATTTTAAACCTCCTTAAAGTTTTTTTAATTTTTAAACGAAATATGAAAATTTTATGCTTTGAAATTACGAAATGCATAAAGAGTTATTTGAATGCTGATTGTTTTATTTATTTTCAGTATAATATATCAAAATACGTAGGATTAATGCATATTTTGTTTCTCAGGTTAGTTTCAGAATCTATATTAAATCTGTATGACGATATGGATATTTTACTGTCGTCAGATAAGCATTTTCTTCTTGGACGTTGGATACAGGATGCTGTACACTTAGCAAAAACCCCATTAGTAAGTAATTAATACAGTTGTTATCCATAATTATATAAAGTGATAATCTGAATTCGTAACGCATACGGTTATTACAGTCTTCAGCTATACTAGAAATAAAATTAACACCTTTTCATTCCACTTACTCAAACAGCTGTTCTCAATAAATACATGCGTGAATTATAATAAAACATTGAAATTTTTGCAAAAGTATCTAAAAACAACAATTATTTTGTCCTTTTCATTTTTCTTTCTTCCTTTTCCCTTCAGTAAATTTTTACAGAAATCGCCGTAAATTCCTAAAGCTGGTTTGAAATATAAATAAAACGTTATTTTAAAATGTGTTCAGTAGTTGGAAAATTTAAATTTCAACTGAATCGCAAACTTTCTACCCTGCCAAGGATATTTTACGATTGCATAAATGAAGTACAGGGACCTAAAAATGTTTAAATATATCATATTGCTTCTTTTATTATTTAAAAGATTTTTCTCCATTTTAAAAAGTAATTATGAATTCAAAAAATTATTTAAAGGTACATTTCTCTTTAACTAAAAAGATTAAATTAATTTAATTCAATTTAATTAATATCGATTATTTTATTAATTTAAAGTAATTAAACAATTTAATAATAAATAAGTGGTTAAATAATAAATCATAATAATTGAATCCTTTTGAATGTATAATTAATTTAAATTAGATTTAATTTAAAAATTTTATTTCAGAATGAAAAAATATTAAAACTGCCTAATTAAGGAAGAACACAATTTATTTTCACACATGTATTTTTTCCTCATTATCTTTACTGAAATCTCACCATAACTATTTTAAATGTTTTGTTCTTTCCCTACGTAAATTTGCATCCATCAAATAAAGACTCTTCAATTCTTACCCGGAAACAAATACAATTTTTTTCGGTAACGAATATAGTTGCTTTATTAATCCGGTTCTTCCATCAAAATTCCTTCATTTGATTCGTCGTAACGATTCACCTAAAACAAAATCAGCTACTCTAGCTTTACGATCATTGTTACGGTAATTTATTTTTTAAAAAAGTCATTGACGGACACATTCTTTGTAATTCAGATTTCCTCTAAATGTAACAAATGCAAACAGTTCCTACCTGATATACTCAGTTCTCCAAGTTACATATTTTAGCCCAACGTACCACAGAGCTTACTATTTTTCTTTTTATTATTCAATATTTACGTGAAAGCCATAACTTGCTAGTTACACACTAAATGACACGGAGATCCTATCGTAATGCTTGTTCTTTCCTAGTTCTTAAAGTATTCATAGATATCATATACACTTGCTTGAGACTTGATTGTCATAATGAAAAATGGGGATTAATATTAAAAATAATCACTTATATTATTTACCAGAAGAGGATGGGCAGACATCCCAAGCGTTTCTTATATGGACTAAAGTACCCCCTGCTGTCGGCACTATCGTTATCTAGGTGAGGTTTCAAACCTCTGACTGAGCTCACATTCGCCCAATACATAAGTTTCCACACTTAACGAAAGCATAAATTTACTGCGTAATATTTCTTAATCGGAAACGATGTAAAACAATTATCAATTCGTACAATAAGAGTTTCTGAACATTTCCGACTATAAAGGGGAGAAAGAAAAAAAAATTTCTGTCAAACGGCTCTTTAAAACTAAACTAACACTTTAAGAATAATATGATAACCACTTAGTTCATCTGCATAAACCAAGGTTTTTCAAATAGAGGGGAAATTTCATAGTTTCAGAAGAGGAATGCGGTGAGCCTTTTATTTACCTATCAAGTACTTAGTTTTAGTTTATGAATACTTTAACTACTTTTAATTAAGATTTGGTATTTTTCAACATTTTCTGTATTTTTTTTAATATGTAAAACACATTAAAATAAATGTATATGTATTTTTTGAGTTCTGCAAAGAAGGAAGAGAATAATCCTTTAGCAATGTGAAAGGGGTGCATGGGGCAAAAATGTTTGAGCATATATACTTAAAGGCAGCAGGAGAGACCACGGTGTGCCAAACAGAGTTATCAGAGGTTCAATAGTGGAAGACGCATAGCACGCGGATTAGGACAGGAGAGTATGAAAAGCATCTGTTTAAAAACATCTTATTCACTGTTTGTTTCCATCAGGTCATCGAATCAATAACTTCTATGACCTGCCTCATATGGCGAAAGTGAAGTTTGCTCTGACTGATATAAATGGCTTCAAGTTAGACAATATGCTTGATTTCTTAAACTGGCACATATCTTCTTCTGTGTAGTTCTTTGCAGGCAGTGGAAACATCTTATAAAACCGTCGTAAATCTGCTTGCTCTATTCCAATAGAATTCATACTTTTCTGCGACCACCACATAAAAATAATGGTTATACCATTTTTCGGAAGAGCAAAAATAGTTTTTGAATTTCTTTCGTAAAAGCAAGCACTCGTAAAGAGTAGGATACTTGTAGCACATTCATTTCCTAAAAGCTTCGAGTCGCTAAAGCGAAAAGAAAATTTTGTTTTATACTCGTATATAAGTAACAAGTTGCTCATTTATGAGGCTGTTCTGCGTTTCATACTCAGTTACATCTGTCTTAAAGAACTTGCATGTCACAAATACTCAATTAGCATATTAGCATATACTCCAAAATAATGCATCAAGGCAAATTACTAATATTCTAAGGTTTGTGAAAATAGAAGAGCTCAAAAGGATTTAGTGTGTCCATGAAAATGCTAATTTTTTATGTTTGTTTGTCTGACCATCCGTCTTAAGTATTTTATAGCAAGTGTTGGAACATGGCTAACAGTAAAGTTTCATTTCTTACAATTCAAACTTAAAAGAGTTATTTTCAAAACTGAAGGCCAGATTTTAATGAAATTTGGCATGGACATAGGTCAATAAAATAACGAAAAAGAAATGCAGTCATGGTATACACGCATGATCATACGTAAGGCTCATAGGCGCAAGATCTAAAACAGAGGTTGAAAGATCAAACAAAAAGGAGGCTAGTAGGGAGTATAATTCCTTCTACCAATCATACAGCTCTCACAACGTGACTTGCAAATGAGGCAGCCCCTGTGTCAGTCGATTCTCCTCCAGCATCAGCGTTGTTTTTACGTCCTCGACGGTTCTGGAAAAGGGAATGTGAACTGCAGTTGCCCTCCCAAGAGTGTTCCAGATATGTTCTATGGGCTTTGGCTTTGAAGATATTGCTGTGCAATCCTCCATTTAATGTCCTTGCTGTCGTCCATAAAATGAGCTGAGGTTAACTGCATCTCTGAAATGGCAAACATACGGCTTAAAATCTCTTCTTAAAACTTACAGTAGTCACGGAACCGCTGTCAAAGACATGAAGATCTGTAACCCGGGCAGCAAAATGCCTGAACAGACTATCAAATCTCCGTTCCCATACTGGTCCTTTTTTTGGATGTTAGAAGGCATAAAGAGGAACTCTTGCTCTCTCTCTCTAGATGAAGGTATGCCAAGGATGATGGTTAGATTGAATTGGGACTCCCCTGCGAAGCGAATGATCCCTCACAGATGCTTTGTTCCTAGTTTTGCACCATTCTAAACGGGCTGTCTTGCGCACAAACCTCTCTAATGTAACTTTCTGGTAACAATAACCCATGAAACTCGCTCACTGTGGCAGCATGAAGATTTTGAGAGAACTAAAAATTTGTTGTATAGTTGTTGCGCAGCAATGAAATGGACAAATATCAATTTTCACTGATCGTCGCCATCATCTTGGGGGTGAATAATATCCAGTAGAAGTCTCGAGTTCCGGCCTTTTCCCAGGCTTACTGCCTACAGATACACTGTCCTTAAACTGTTTTCTAATGTTGCTGGATGTTATATTCACATCTCTAGCAACCTGCACTTGGCAATGCCCTGTTTCCAATCTCCCGACGATTCATGACCTTATTTCATTATCTAAACTGATGGTTGCTCATTTTAATTGTCTGCTTTTGAATTTTACTAAATATTGCACATGAAAATCACAGTAATCGAGGAGTGGAGGTGAACAAAGAGGAGAAAATGCTCCGTTTGCTTTTAGCAATCCTTTCCTTAAATAATCCGTTCATATATACGTGTATGTTTGGGTTTTCGAAACTAAAAACCTGCGGCTTGTGTTTGGAAGCATAATTAGTAGCTTTCGTTCAGTACTTTTCTAGAAAATAGCTAAAACATGCAAATTCAACTTAATTTTTAACATTAGTGTAGATTATGGTAGCAGTCTATGTAAAAACCGTAAGTGTCCAAGGCCCTTTAATCTGTTCCTGTTCATCTCAGGCAACTGAAAGTTAAAATTACTGTTCTAAATAATTAAAATCTCATAAAAATCCCATTTCCTTTGCCCACTCAAATTCTTCTCCTCCACAAAATTCACTTACAATTAATTTTCTTAAATTTCGGTGAATATATTTAATTATAAGTATTGAAATATATCCCTCTATAATATAGCTCAGCGCCGTTTTCATTTACTTGAACATTGCATTTCTGGTTGTTTTCGCTTTTATCGTCTTCATCATTTAGAATCTCGTTTATAAACCACCAATATTATTTACCCAAAAGTATTCGAAATTCACTTTTTCGACATTTATTTTCTATGTATGTATAGACACAAGTATATAGGCGAAATTTAATTTATTGTTGTTTTGTTAATTTATTGAAGCGAGGTGTGCGCAGTTCGTAGATTCCTTCGCTGCCTAGAATGTGCAATTCGTAGATGTTTTTTGAAGTTAAAACGTATCGCTGTGTACATGGATTCTTGTCAAATATTTTTGGTTAGAAACGTTAGGTTTTTGCTATCTAAATTTTTTGTTTCGGATATTTAGCTTAAATTGTGTCTTCAAAACGTGGTTTTTGCATGTGCGAAAACCACGTTTTTGGAGACATTTTAGGCTTAAAATTCGAGATGTAGACAAAATCTTTAGGTAGTAATATAATTTTATTATTATTATTTTTTTTATTATTATTTATTTATTTATTTATTTTTTGTATTCAATGATGCACATTTTAATTAAAAAATATATGAGTATTTAGTCGCTGTCATTGATTATTTGTTAGGCTTTAATTATTTTTATTGGTTTATTTTAAACTAAATATAAATTTGAAAACGAAATTAATATACCTGATAATTAATTTAATGAATAAATTAGGTTCATCACCTTCTGGTTTACACGTTTTAATCAAACATACCTTCATTTAAATGTCATAATCTCACGTTTTGGCAAAAATTTGACACTTGTCTATGCAAATGAACGGAAATGTTCTTTCCTATTTCAGGAGCTAGTGCAATATGAATATAATGCTAGGAACCAGATTACACTCTGGGGGCCTTCAGGAGAGGTATGATTTAGTTTCCTTTACTTGCATATAACTTTACTACGCTAGATTAGGAAACTCAGACTATGTAAAAATGCATAAGGTAATTAATGGTCGAAAAATAAGGTCAATACGAACTTTAAAAATTGGCGAACTTCTTCTTAGATGGCTTATTTAACAATTTATTGAATAAAATTACTTTGATTTATCTATTGCATTCTAAGCTTATCTTTCCTTTATGTAGTAAAACAATTTCTACTTATTTTTATCATATGATTAAGTGCATTTGTTATGATAATATTCTTTTCCCCTTTCTAGTTAGTCGATTATGCAAATAAACAATGGGCTGGACTTATTGCACAGTAAGAATTTTTTTTTTTAATTTTATGTTGAAGAATAGCTATATCATGAATTATTTTACTCTTTATTAATTTATCTTCATTATTTTCGTCACCGATAAGATTTAATGATTTTTTTTCGTATCCTTTTGGCTAGATGTGTTTAGTTCAATATCATTTTCTTCCAGTCTCTGCCTTCCAAACCTTTCAGCTGACGACTTTTCTTTTTTTCTTTTTTATTTATTTATGTTTTAAAAGAAAATTTAGTGCTTAAAAGACTTTCTAATCGTTGAAAAATTATTCATGTTTCTCTTCTCTTCATGGATGACAAGTACATGTGACTAGAATTTCTTTCAAAAAAATTAAATAGCTGTAACGAAGTTTCAGATATATTTTAATCAGCAAACAGCGCATTCATAAGCTGTTTAGGAAATGTTTCAAACTGGGGCGAGCTCAATTATTTGACTTCTTTTTATAATCATTACTCTCTCAAATTAGATAAAAACTAGAAATGGTAAATTGCGTGACTGGTCGGTTGGTTCGGATTTTGGGTGCAAAAGCCTTCCAGATCCCAATGGGTGAAACAAAAGCAAAGTATAAAAAGATAAAAATGATTCAAATAATATTCCTATCAAGAATTAAATTCAAAATGACAATAACTATTAAAATTAGCATGAGGCAATATAAATGCATATGCTAAAATTACATGCTACATGAATGTAATATAAAATTTCGTGCAACTAATAAGAAAATAAATCTTATTAAAATAAATGTAGGGTTCTATATTATAGCTATGTGAAAAGCAATGGGATATGGAAAAGACAAACGAAATGTTACAGAAATGTAGAAACATCCAGATGAGAGACTTCAGCATATGCTAAAATCCAAATATTTTTCTAAAGTAAAACAAAAGTCACATCAAATTACAACAAACACTTTCTTGAAGGAGGGGAAAAAAAAAGAATTCAAAATGCAGATTGTCCCAAAAATGTTCTTGAAAGAAATATTAAAAGAACCTTAATATAATGTTGACGGCAACGATTAAAAAATGAACATTCAATCATGATATGATTAACCTCATTATCTCACACTTGCTGCCATTTAAAGTGCTTTTTCTACTTGATGACATTTTGAATATCAGTGCATGAGACAGTTTGCCAAAAAAATTTGACCGCATTTTAGGCAGTTATTTAAACAGTTTTTTTTTTCCTCTAATTCTGACATGTCTTTGTTTCCAGACGTATACACGGTGTCACAAAAGGTCATTGCAAACTTAACACATTATTCTGACATACCATAACAAACAAAGACTGTCATACCATAATAACAATAACAACAACTACATAGGAACTTGTGTTCGAAAATGCGAACGGTGACAGCTAGAGTATGCAGCAACCATGCAACGAACTTTCAAATTAAATGTTAACTGTTTGTCTTTTTCATGTATGTGCTACAACTAAACTCTGGACTTTTCCCCCAAGTGAACTGAACTGATTCTTGTGAGTTAGTCTTCCTCGTGCCTATGCTGTTATCGCTAACGTGCAGAAACGCGGCGTGATATGTTTTGGTAGCATGCTCTTCTCTTTCGCTATGTAATTGTAAATAAATGTGATTAATTGAATAAGTTAGCTTATTTGTGAATATGCAGAACCAACCTGCCGTAAGGGCAATGTTTGCAGGCTTATGGGAGAATGGGAAGTGGGATAATTTCAGGTGAGGATGTTGCAGGAGAAGGATGAACTGGCCGATATGCACTACTTGTAATGGTGCCGCGGTCCTGTCTCATGGCCACCGCAATCCCCCAACCTGACTCCCCTGGATTTCTGCCTGTGGAGATACACGAAATCCGTAACATCGATGACACGAGATGACCGTGACATCGGACATGGATTTCGTCGCCAGAATCGTGGAAGCGGCAGCAGGTGTCCGTGACACACCTGTCAATTTTGAACGGGTCTGTGAATCCATGAGTTGACGTTGTGAAGTATGCATTGCGGAGAATGGAAGGAATTTTGAACATTTTTTATATTGCTGTGATTTAAGCATGTTCTTTAATGAAAATCATATCAACACCTCTTTGGACTGACTTTCTCCCCATCTACGCCTGCGAACTTTGCCCTAGCGGTCACCGTCTGCATCTTCGGACACAATTTCCTGTGTAAATCTTGTTTGTTTAGGTATGGCAGATCAGCATGTTAAGTTTGGCAACGACCTTTTAAGACACCCTACAGAAGCAGAAACTCTCAGTTTGAAAGGTTTTGGTTGTAATCATTGTAAAAAATTTCAGAGCACTCAGTAAATTGGAATAGATGGCAAATTCGCTAGGCCGTGATTTCTGCATTAAACCAGAATAGATATCATGCATTTATAGGTTTTGATGGTATTACCAGAAGTGTACTTTGATCTGACATAATCAGACACATTCGATATATCGGTGCAGATAGACGTTTAATCACTGCATTCAAATTTACACTTATCAGAAAAGATGCGTACCCTATATCGCTTGTGCTGTTTCTATTGAAGTTCATGAAGATATTTTATAGCTGAAGCTGTGAGTATCTCTACGGTGGGATTTCCCATTATTTGTTAGCATTGGGAGCTATATTCTCTAAATCAGATATCCTCAAAAGCGATCGAACTTGTAACAAAGAATCTCTAAGGACAGCTGGGATATCAATTTTCGCTCTGGTCAACAAGCATCAGATCTCGAGCAAGATGTGAAGGTTCAGACTTTATTTGGAAGGAGTATCGAAACGACAACTGCTTGCTTCTCGGCTGTGGTTGTGATTCGAAACGTTCCACATGGACGCTTTGCAATGGAGAGAGCTCCAGAACTGATCCACATTGCTCAGTGATGATCATCGGTCGAGCTGTAAAGTCACTAAACACTGATAGTTCGGTCGGAGGTTCGAATCCCACGAACTGGCTGGCTGCATGGGCGTTTCCGTGTTTTTCCCCATGTGTAACGTGTATACGAGCCAATTTCCCTTACAAAGTCCTCCACGAAGACATCCCTCCCCTTAGGCAGATAGCCCTCGAGGCTTTGCCATAATCACACGCAGACACTCAAAGAGGAACGTGATAGGTTTCGACAAGATCTCGTGTAGATACATAGACCGCAATAACGTTTTGATCTAATGTAAAATCCACAATTAAGTTTTTATCTAATGAAAGCTCTATAAATGTGGAACTATGCTTCATTCTTCTTGCCACGGCGTATTCGAAAAGGTTTTAAGTAGTAAGTTGAATCTCAGAGAGCAACTTTCTCTTCAAGTTCAAAACACGAGTTAAGTTTATTGCCTAATGTTACATTTAAAACGCAATTCCTGAAAAACTGATTTAATGAAACTTCCCAATACAGCTTCTAGTAAGGATGCAAAACCCTCCCTGTGACAAAAAAGCACACATACTATCTTCCGATTAGAATACTTGAACCCATTTATAATAGACCATTTAATTAGTCTACTAACAGCAAACTGCAGTTGTGTTTCAGTGCGTTGAATCGTATTTGCAAGTTGACCTCATATAGTATTCTTCTCCCCTGTTCAGAATAAATTCCTTCAAGCTAGAGCTAGTTTTTACCTTGAACAGAATGACACTCAGCACTGACTTCTGTGATATGTTCTCTTTTTGAACTTCAGATATCAAAGAATCCAGAAAAATTAAAAATTTTTATCCTTTTCAGAAATTCTAAGAAAAAACAGGAAATTTTTCCAGCAACTCGCAGTTGAAGTCATCTAAAATTCGATATCCCCAAGTTTTATACATCTATATTTTAATATGAAAGGATATTAAAACAAATCACTTCAAAAAAAATCCGCAATAGCTGTTCCTAACAGCAGAATATTATCAACCGTAGAACTTCCCTTCCATAAAGCACTTGGCAAAAGATCTCCTCCCCCCCCCGTGTCAAAGTGGTTTATAGTTTTATCTAAGTAATATACTACTCATTTACCATTTATCATTCCTTGCACAGGTTTCAGAATTTTGCAGGAGACACTTGTAAGAGCAACTGATGGATAATTTGAACGACTCCTCGGATCATTCCCACGTTTGTTATAGGCATGATAATAATATTATCCCATGCAATGGAAAATGTGTGTGTTGGTTGTGCATTAGCACTGAAGGCGTAATGAGTACGTTTCCTCAAGCACATTAAAGAATCATAAGTCAAAAGATTAACTACGAAATCTAATAAAATAGGATAATTTTGCTTAACTTAAGCATAACAAAAAGTAATAATGTTCAAAGACATTAAAACACTGAAGTATTGAACAGAATAACTTACAGAGAATCATCATCAGTCCTAAATATCATCAGGCTTACCTATATTATGCAATAAGAAAAATAAACAGGAATATACTTTGCCATCGTACCTGAAAGAGAAGAAAGCTACTGAATTAGACCTTTGGCCAGGTACAAGTAGCTAGGGTGAAAAATCAAATATACTGCATTGCACACGAGCTTTACTTTCTCTCGCCAATATATACCTTGGCGCACGTTCGTTTCGTACGCCTTTCGAGTTTCATTATGCAAAATACCTAAATTTATGCTAACATTGCCCCTGTTTAGCTAATGAAACTCATACCAATTGTAATTCATTCCTGCAAAACTGAAATTTAGCTTTAGGAATTGGTTTAGTCATAATATCAGCAACCATTTCCTCTGTTGAAAGATAAGCAAGTTTTACTATTCCTTTGTTATTCAAGTCGCGTATATGATGAACTTCTGTATCAATATGTTTAGTGCGTGAACTGAATTTTTCAGATTCTACAAGTCTTATAGTAGACTGATTATCTTCGAAAACCTTTATCGGTAGAGTTTGGGGTAGATTGAAATCTTCTGTTAATTTTAATAGCCATAATAGTTCTTGCATAAGCTTGCGATAGTGCAACATATTCAGCTTCTGCTGAGGATAAAGAAACACACGTTTGTTTTCTTGAAAACCATGAAATACAAGTTCCTTGCCTAATAAAATTAACACTTCCTGATGTAGATTTTCTATCTTCAATATCTTGTCCCCA